GTTGTGGGAAAAGTTTCAGACGAAAGGCAAGTCAGAGAAGACTGGTCTTCTGGCTCTGCCTTTTCAAAAAAAGGCAAAAATGACTCTTCCCTTAATGAAGGATGGCTGGGGGAAGCTTAGAAGATTCACTGATTTGGTTTCATTCTAGTTGGCTTATCTAAACCAGATCCAAATGATCTAAGACTTTTTGGGTTATAAAATGGGACTGGAATTCTTGGGGCAGACATGTAACATTTCCAAGGCTCCCTATTTCTTGTCATCCTTTCAGTAGTGCGGTGCCAGCAAAAACCAGCTAATAGAATCTCATGATCCAAAATTAATTTGGAAAAAAAAATAACCAGCCAAAATTTTTTAACCTAAAAAACAGGGTGGCAATTTAGATTGGATTTGCATTTTCGGCAAAGTTTCACATCAGTCTTGCTTTTATGTTTGTGGATTTGCTCAGGTCTAATTTTTTTTTGGTTTTTTTGGACAAATAAAAATTGTATATATTTAAGGAGTATAACATCAACATATTTTGATATCTGTCTACATTGTGAAATGATTACCACAAACGAATTCACATACCATCATCAGGTTTAATTTTAATGAGGACAGTTTTGGAGGCCTAAAGATGTCACATGACTGAGGGTACCCCAAAAAAGCTGGATGACAGGTAGGGTCCAATGAATGCCCCACAAGGGTCACCCAGGCTTCAATCTCAAAGTGGATAGCTTCCTCCTTAATTACACTCTTCACTGGGGGAGAGGGGAAGGAAATACTGAAAAGAATAGACTACTTTTAAAAATAAGATTTAATTTTTAGTTGTCTATAAAAGGCTTAATGTCTACCATGGGGCCTTTCCTGACACCAATCGACTCTCTTCTCTTCATTCTCTAAACTATGTTTTCCAGAAATTTTACTTTTAAAATTGGTAGTATAACTCTTTGTGCTTCCTTATAGTCATGCAAGAGGCAGCCTAATAGAAACCAATCAATGCACATTCGCATTTAGCAAGATGAAACTTAGATGGTTGAAATTCACATACAATTTGAAATGCATATTCAACTGTCATACAATGCATTACATTATATTTCCTATGATTTACATAACAGTGAAATTCTTAACTTTTAAATTATGTTATAACCATCATTATTAATTCAATTGTTAGTGTGTTGAAATGACTAAAGAGAGGCTCATACAATGCATTACATTATATTTCCTATGATTTACATAACAGTGAAATTCTTAACTTTTAAATTATGTTATAACCATCATTATTAATTCAATTGTTAGTGTGTTGAAATGACTAAAGAGAGGCGTGGGTTTATTTTTGTGTTTTGAAGTAACAACAATTTAAAGCCAAAAATTGTTAATTTCCAATTTTGTTTCTTACAAAATAGTTCAGCTCTAATAACAAATTAGGGCATACAAATCTGGTAAAATTGTGGTTTCTTATTTTAAAAGCTGACATGTGAAATGGTGTGATTTATATTAGCCAAAAATATAGGGAGAAATGTAATTTTTTGTTGATATACATTGTATCTAGTTTATTTTTTATCACATTAAAACGGCATTTAAATTATGCATGTTTAAATGAATCTTAAAATAATTATTCTGATTTACCTAGAACTGTCTACATTTTAATTACATCTTAATTATTATCCAGGTTAAATGTGTTATCTCCTTTAGTGGAATAAGTATAACTACGCTTTTGTCTAGTTCATACAAAATCTAGTTCTATCAACAAATTCGTACTTATACCTTTAACACACACACACTCATTCGCAAGTGAACACACACACACACACACACACACACACACACACACTTACATCAATCAGTAAAACTCAAACAAGAGAATGCCGCCTTTTTAACTGGCCGTGCTCAATACCCCATGATCTAGAAAGACCATGATATAAAGCCATATTCTCCAGATATCATTCTAAAATATATAAAGAAAAAATATAAGAAAATACAAAAACTATAAATCTGCTCAACTATTGGAATCTCTGCATTTTGTGGTATGAATTATGGAAGAGATAACTCGCCACATATTTCTTTAGTTTAGTTCCCATTTTAACTCATCCCTTAGTTATCTGGGGTATGGTTTTGAGCCGTTTTTGTGCCAGTCAGCTGATCAATTTTATAAAACTTTGCAGATATGAGAGCATCCATTTAGCTATTTGTAAAATTGAAGATCAGTTTCCTTTGGGAAAAAGCACTGCAGCTATTGTCCCATATTTGGTTGTTTCAAAAAAAGATGCCTCGGGTTACTTAAAACCACTGTGTTTTGTTTTGTTTTCTGGTAAATATTTTGTCCTCCTTATAGAAATTAGTCTCCCTTTATACTTGAAGCTTTTGAATATTTATCAACACATTTTCTCATGTGAATTCTCAATTTACCAATACAAGCTGGAAAAGGGCAAATCTATTAATATCAGATAATTTTTTATATGTGGGTAGTTGTTTGTTTGTTTTTTTCCTTCTAAACGAGAATACTTATTGTTCAGAGCTTGGGTACCTGTGAATTGGCCTTCATTTTTGCTAATAATTCTCTCATATTTTTATCTTTATACTAATTTCCCTTAAAATCTGAGATTGCCTCTTAGTTTACTGTCTGTTTCTTTAGTTTTTTTTGTTTTCTTTTTTTTGTTTTTGATAATCTTGAGCCTGCTTTTTGGTATTCTAAAATATAATTTACTTTGATCACTGTTCTTGTTTTGAAAAATTCTTATTTCAGCCGGCTTTAAAAGAGAAATAATGTCCTCATTGAGAACAAGATGTTCTCTAAATATTTCTTATACTTCATGAAATAAATCTTTTCATTTTTCTCTCAGTAACTAATGCTTTCTTCTTTTCTCATGCTGCAAAAGATTTTCAAGTTCTCGTATTTATTTTTTGGTTTCCTCATCCTTGAGTATGTAATAAACATACTCTGAAACACTGGTTTAAAACCCAAGGCTTAGATCCTTCTCATATACAGAAAGACAGCCATGCCTGGTGTTAGAAATAGTAAGTTTAAAGGAACTATTCTCATGGATGTAGATGCTAGCCATTTCCTCCCCAGTAATCTATGACAGGAGAGTCAGTTATCCAACAGGCTCTAAACAAATGCAAATTCCTTCTGCAGGACAGAGTCTCCATTCTTATTGTACAAACAGCACAAATAGAATCTAATTCATAGACCCACCTAGAATCCCAAGAGTAAGTAAGTAGAGAAGGAGGAAGAAGACGTGGACCAGTGAATGGAGTTTCTGTTCCCATAGCAGGAGAGAGAGTTCCATCCTTGTCATTGGTTCCTAGGCTTGACGACAGAGATGATTTTTCCATGAAGCGTGTGAAACTTAAACCTCAAGACATCTCACTTGCTGGAGGCTTCTCAAGGTGTGGGAAGGTCTCTGGCACAGTGTTTTCTATGCTCCAATATTTTTATAAAATGTACAAAACTAAGGTATTTCATCCACTCTGTCTTCCCCGTATGTCAGTCAGGTGACGATGAGGCGGCCCTAGGCATTTTGGACATCCTGATCAGAAGTTGAATTTGAAATCAATTTAGTTTGCTTTTGGTGGCATGTATTTGCGCGGCTCACAGATGCTCCCTTACATAGTGAAATTATCACTAGGCAATGCTGGTATAGGAATGGCTTCCGGGGGTATTTCTGGAGGCCACGTTAGTGACTCATCCCAAGTTGTGACAAAAAAGAGGCAGGACCACAACATAAACACATTCTATAGCACCCAGCAGCAAACAAGAAGTACTATGTGGGTAGCAGAGGAGAAGTCAGGTTTAAAATGGATGGATTCCAAAATTCATCTATGGGAAATTCTTCTGAATCTTCTAGCTCAAATAGACAAGAAACTTGATAAATGTTTTCCCAAATTTGGCAACAAGTCTAAAAATTTACATCATGAATGAGTTGTGAATCTGAAAGAAACATCATTAAATGGTCAATATTACAAATAATTTTGGATCAACCCAGAAAGAGGAAAAGATTGAATTATCTTTCTGTGTCTGGCATAGAAAAAAAAATATTGCAAAATCATATGAAGAGGTAATCAATGATTACACAGCCAAAAATTAATTTTAATTAATGATTCTCAGTTAATTTTTAACATCATGTTTTAAAAATTTTTTTATTATGATTATTTTTCAAGTTTGTTTTTAAAATTTAATTTGTGTTCATTTCTTTTCTCATTTAAATACTCACATTCACACCAAACTTTGTGTTTGTAATTTCGTATTATTTTTATTTGAGAATCCCTAATATTTTAAAGACCTACAGGCCCCACATGACCTGGATTCATGTCTGATTTCTGATCCATTGGAAGGGAGTTTGTGTCACCCAACTGCCCTGTTTTCCTTCAACTACTCTTTATGGTCACTCGCCTACTCAGCGTTCCTTCTTACCTCCTTAATATCTCCAACCACGTTCCCATGAAACGTATCCCAACCCGAACTCAACACCTTTCTTCCCACACCTGCCCTTTCTTCTGAGCTTAGGTTTAGGTGATGACACAACCCTCCTTTGAGTAACCTTAAAGCATAAATAGAGATGTTGCCAATTCACCGTCTCTTTGTCACTTATGTCTAATCAATCCCCCAGCCCTGTTAATTTTTACTTGGAACTATGTAACCTCTCCAACCACTTTTTTGCAGGCAGCTTCAGTGACTGTGATTGAAATAATACATGTTTTCACCTGGTCAGCTGCTCCACATTGGTTTCCAGAATAAACCTACTTAGATGCATGACTTCTTACCCTTTAATCGTGCCCCTTCGAATTCAAAATAAATGCCAAACCCCTTAAGATGGGCTGTAAGGTCTTCCATGTTATGAACTTGTCTGACCACCAGCTCATCTTCAACCACTTCCCGGTTCCCACACGGGGACCCCTGCCAGTTGCACATTAGGCAGTGACCATGTTGAACTATGCCCAGCACGCTGTTTTGGTTCATGTCTCCATACCTTAAGCATGCTGTCCTCTCTGCTTAAAAGTTCCTCTACTCTCTCTCACCCTAGGCCACGACATCTGTCCAGTCCTCCAAATTCAGCTCAGGCAGCAGTCATCTGATCCTCCCCGGCTTCTCCAAAGAAAAGTAAGTGATCGCTCCTTTTTCTGTACTCGTTTTTAGTCTTGCTTGCTTTATTGTGATCATTTGTGTGCATGCTTTTCTCTCTCAGTAGATGATGGGATCTTCAGAGTTACAGAATGTGTTGTATTCATCTTTCTTTATCCAAATCTCAGTTGATATTGACAAGAATCAGTGTATGCCACCCCAAAATATGAGAAGACTTTGGCATAAAGATTGCTTTTGAGCTGAGGGCAATTAAGAAGCAACAAATGTACAAAGAGCTCTCTGCCTTCCTTCTATTTGCCTAGAAGCAGGACATAAATTTCCCTTTGTGAAGGTATTTTCTCTCCCCTCCCTGGGACCAGGAAGAGAAAAACCCTTCTCACTGGAGACAGAAAGTCAGCACTGAGATGGGGCTGCACAAATGGACCTTACTGAAAACAAAACTTATCTTCCATTAGCTTCCCCCATATATTTACCTTGCCACCCTTAGAGGCTCAAACCCTTTTGTTAAAATGGTATATAAGCCCCAGGCCTGATGGCTTCTTTTGGGTATTTATTTCCTTTTCTGTGAAGGTCTCCATGCACATGCGCATATTAAAATATTAGTATCAAATAAAATGTGCATGCATTTTCTCCTGTTAATCTTCTGTCTGTTTAATTCACAAACTCCAGTTACCGAACCTAAGAGGGTAGAGAAGAATATTTTCCCTCCCTACAACATTGATGCAACTGTAGTGAATTATGTAAATGTGGTTAAGTACATCGTTTGTGATGTGCAAAGTTAGATTAAGCATAGTGTATGAGTGTGGATTAGAACAAATCTAATGGGCTCAGACCTGAGTGTGATCATAGCCTGTAACCCCATTAACCTTAGAGCTAACTCATTTAACTGGACCAAGCAAGGATCACCAATTATGTATGTAAATATTATTGGCTTGCAATCTAAAACTCAATACTGTGTCATCTTGATCATAGATTACATCATCACATCACTGGCCGTAAAACTTGAAAAGGTTGAAAATAAACCTCACATTTCTCCTACATAAAGGCCAAACTTATGCTAGCTCAGGAAAGACAGAGCCCTTTTTTCTGTAACCTGAGGTTAGTAACTTCCTCAAACTTAGGGATTTAGAGGAGCCAACGCTCATGTTGCCATTGGTTCTTCCTGAATATTAACAATCTCTGTTTACATTAAAAGAAAATGTACTCCATATGTTCCAGAATCATTTGTACCTAAATCACCACATGGGAGACATAAATAAATATTATATATACATATGTATAAACGTTTTTAGATGTGGAAGAGACTACTTTTATCTTTCAAATGAGCAGTTCTCATTTTGATCTCTGAGAGGGAAAAAAGGAGCTGTGGGTTCTCTCCCTGGTTTGGCTGCACATCCATACGTAATCTCAAACTTGGGGAAGATGTCCTCCCACTGAACTTGAGTCGTAGCAGATTCTTCGGAGTACAGCTGAGCCACAAGCTGAGGAGTTCAGCCTCCGAGTCTCACGATCTTTAACTCCAGTGACGACCAAGGGATCCAATCTTCTGCACACTCGTTCAAGAGCCAGAACCATATACTTGGCCCAATATCTAGCACAGGCCTGGGTTTTCAAAAGTGCTTGATAAAAGGATATGTGACTGAATTAATAGACTTTCGTTTTGGGCATCAGCGCGGTCAGACTGGCACGTCTTGACCCATGGCCTTGACCGTGCAATGCTGACGGCAAAAAACAAAACACGCTCAATCCTGGGCCCTGTCCTGTTGTACATTTTATAAAATGATTCGGATAGAAGCAAAGGCAGCATGTTTGTCACGTTTAAAGGGGACAAAGCCAAACGGTGTGGGAGGAGCTAATAGAATATGTGCCAGAAAACGGACTTACGATGATCAGCAATGATGGTCAGCAACGATTACCTAAAACCAAAAAAGGGCTTGATTTAAATGACCGCTGGCTTCACTTTGGTACAAATCTTTCTAGTTTTTATTGTTGTTATTTCTGCCTATCTATCTCTTTACTTTTATGTAAATATATATGTGCATAGAAAGAGACACACACAGATATACACTTTTATTTTTTAGAGCATAGGGATCACTCAACACGTTTGTCCACTTAACACCAAATCACTAAATATTCTTCTGAAATATCATTTTCCAATACCACAGTAGGGCATTCTGGAATTTATTTAACTACTATTAGATTGTTTTCCATTTTGTTATTTTGAACTTGTTACCATGAACGTGCTTCTTAACTAAATGTTTGTCCCAAACCAATAATTCTTTAAGATAATGCCTAAAAGGTGATTGTTGACATCAATATTGCTGATTTGCCTCCCAAACAAGCTATATCAATTTAGTTTTCCGGTGGTGTGTGAGGGTCCCTGTTATTCTCCTTTACCAAGTTCTTGGTTTCATCTTGTGTAAATCTTGGTCCATGTGTAGGTTACAAGTGGCATCTCAATTCCTTTATTGTTTTCTGACTTGTGAGATTCAATTATTTCTTACATTTTGTCAGCTATTTGTATTTCCTCTGACAAACTGAAATTTTAAAAATATAAGTTCTACCACATTTGTTTCCCCCAAATTCAGTTATAGAATTGTCAAATGGGGAAACTTGGTGTGACAGTAGATTGCATGAAAAGGAAAAGGAAAAAATACAAGGGGAATGTGAGAGAGGTCTTCGAATATTTGGATAGTTCGCATATAGAAACGGACTCATGTTTAGCTTATAGTTTTCCGAAAGGAAAAAGGGCAAGCAGGTGGAAAGTTACAGGTTGGCAGGCTTTAGCTCATCTTCAGAAAGAAGGTTTGAACATTTCTAGCTATCCAGAGATGAAATGGATCATCTAAGGGCTCCCTGTATTGGGCTAACTGGATGTCTTTGAGTGTCTCCTCAAAATCGGACTCTTTGCTTCTGCGCTTATGGGCTCACCCTAATTTCTTTAGTAAGTATATTACTATCTACTTATTTATTATCAACTACCATGTAAATGAGAATGGAAATAACTTTATGAGTAACATTTTTGTATCATGTAATCAGAGATTGTGACATTGAGGATTTTTTTTTTCATCTACTCAACTTAGAACTATGTTTATATTATATTGTCAGTAAGATTTCTGGGGTTATTAAACTTTAAAGTAAATCATTTTTAAAAACATGAACATTTTAATAATAGACTAACAGAAATGGAAAGAACTGTCTAGGTAGCCGGCATGCTGGAATTTGGGAGCCTTCACTGGCGTTTATTTAAGTAATATGTGTCCTTATAAGTAATACAATTAGGGATGTGGGTGAAATAGATAAAGGTGATAAAAGGTAAAACTTCCAGTTATAAAATAAATATGTCCTAGGGATGTAATATATGCCATGATAACTATAGTTAATAATACTGTATTGCATATCTGAAAGTTGTTAAGTAGATCTTGAGAGTAGATTTTTAAAGTTCTCATTGCAAGAAAAATAAATGTATCACTATGTATGGTGACTAGGCTTATTGTGGTGGTCATTTTGCAGTGTACACAAATATCAAATTACATCGTACACCTGAAACTAGTATAGTGTTATATGTCAATTCTACCTCAATAAAAAAGGGAAAAGGTAATACAATTATTTTGCATTTAACTAACCTATAGATTTTCATGAAATTACATGTGCCCCCCCACCCCCAACAGTGAGTTCAAAATTTCTACCTATGGAGGTTTGGTTCTATTTAAACATCAGACAATAAGAAGATCAATGTCATGAAACATTTTCACCTTTTGTTTAGTATGTTTCTTCTCCTTTCTTCTCTTGGCTCACCTGGTGCAGTAACTTTACCTGTCCTTCTTTCACTTTTTCTCAAACTCTAAAGGAAGAGGACGTTGGACACATCTTATGCCAACCCAGAGGAGCCTAATCCTTCCCAAAGGGCAGTCCTTTTTGTTGCCTGAAGCTGTAGAAATCAGCCCCCAAGTTTGGTTTATAAGAGAGGGCATCCCGTTGCAGAGCACGGGGATTCTGAATCAATTAGTCAGATCTAAAGCTTTAATTCATCATAATACGGTAATGAGTTAGACATGCTGTGGTATGCATTAGCTCCCGATGCTTTCCAATATTCCACTATGGGTTTTGTGTGTGTGTGTGTGTGTGTGTGTGTGTGTGTGTGTGTGTGAAGCCCAGCTTGTTAAGTGATACCAGCCTATGGTTGTGTTATATGATCTTGCTGATACTGCAGATAAAATATAGCTGTTCTTTATTTTGGTAATGTAATATGGTAGAAGGACTTTGAGAAAATTCTGCCGTTGGTGTATGCTATTTCAGGGTAACACTCCCCCACCCTGATCTAGAGAAATTGAGTTAAACTGGGCTCGATGTTTTCCATCCTGTTTGGTAGCAACGTGCTTCTGGGCTATGTTTAACCCCGAGGAAGCTGACAACACTGACCAGGTCGGGGGAGAAAAGCCCGTCGCTTGGCTATAATGGAAGAGTGCATCTCATTTCCAAGCATCCTATATTTGTGCAGCCCATATTTTTGGCAAGCCATTTATGGTTTTCCTACTCCCATTTCCAATTTAGGGAACTAATAGCTTCTCTTAGGAATGCGTTCTTTCTAAAATTATGTGGAGGGGGGAAGGAGACTGCATCTGGCCTTCTTCATCTGGCTTGGAATGGAAGCGTACCTAACCACGATCAAGAAATTCCAGGTGATAGGAAAACCCAGATGCCACCCAGACCTCTTCTGCCTTGTTCTGGCAGAATCTGTCTAAGGAACATCGCTACGAGGTCAGGAGTAAAAACTGAAAGAGACAGGCAAACCCGGTTACTTGAGGTTTTCCCAGAATGCTATGCTTTCCCCCCCTCCCATGCTATTCTCTTTGCCATTAACGCCAGTCAGTATCTTTCTGGAGTAGGTCGGGGTGTGACCCTGGTTCTTATGTATGTAGAGCAAAGTCATATCATAATCACCTGGAGCATTTTCCAAATGCATGTGCCTCTCTCCTCTGTGCTTCCTACCCACGCCTACTGGGGACCCTGGTTTA